CTAGACAAATCTAAATAAATATAAAATTTACAGCAGACCATGTTTGTGCGGGATTTGAACCTGTGTCATCTTGATGATGAACCGTAAGTTCTACCGCTCGGTTATACATTTTCTCACTGAGAAATACCCAAACGTCTGTTTCTCACATGAGCGAGAAAACGTTTTGTCTTTAGCCTGTGAGTGTAGGCCTATACTTTAGCCTTTTAAAGTTTTAAAAGATTATATCTTATCTGTATGACCAACAATTACGGAGTAGGCTATAAATGTTTGTTGTAGGCTTATTTGGAAATTACCATAACTTGTAGTATTTCATCCTTAGGCTACAGACATTAGCCCCACTAAATGTCCCTTTGCGCCACCTGGCGGTCGTTTCGTGAACAACTTTGAAATGCGACTGGTTTATTTTTACCGCGGTGGATGGCTAAAAAGTGTGACTAAAAATGTGCTTTTGGCTTTCATTTATATTTTGATTGTTTGTATATATATATATATATATATATATATGTGTGTGTGTATAAATATTTATTTATTTATATATATATATTGTCCTTGCATTCTTTCTTGTGACACCCCTGAATGAAAGGCTCATTAGTATGCAGTCTGCTCAGGTGAGAACTGCCTAATTATTCATGAGGGGGTTGGGCCATTCCGCCCATCCGCATATTGCCTTTGCAAACAAAAAAATGTTTTTCACAATTTAAAACAATCTATTGTTTTATGTGAATGATTAGGCAGAATGATTTTCAGATCAATTTCTCTAGGCGACAACATCCACTAGTCAAAAGTCTTGTGGACAAATATTTAGTATGTTATTTGTGGCCTTATATTAGAAACTTTATTTTTTAGTTTTTTCAATAACCACGCATAAACAATATTCTCTCAAAAATACAAACATGTACATACATGTTGCTCACATATTATGGTAGCCCTGTGTGTGCTATATAGAGTGTAATTTCACCTGTGCCATTAATATGTTTATAAGCAACTGAAAAAAGCAGAAATGTCAGAGCATACCAAAACATCTCAAGGACCCCGAAAACACCTCAGACCCCAGAGGGTAAATAAGAGATCTGTTGTTTTTGAAATCAAGCTGAGCGCTGACAGCGCTCGTTGCCGCTGCTATCAGTGTCATGGATACAGTGTTCTCTGTGGCTCGCGCAGTCTTCACTCGGACGCGCGCTTCATATCGCCGTTGTGGTTCCGGTGAAATCTCAAAATAAAATGCACACAAACGTGATGAACATATTCGGTTTTGATGAGAGAGAGAAAAAACTATTCGAGTGCGGTTTAGAACCCGTAACCTCTGACACGCTTGGCAAAAGATCTACAGACCATTAAGAATTCAAACATAATCTGCGGATCGATGCATTTATTTACGGGTTGAGCAGAGAGGCTGCACAGTTTGACCAGCGGGCGGCAAGAACTTGCAATGTAACTATTTATCAGACCGGCCCTCGCAGCCTCGAAACACTACCGAACCACCGGTAAAAGTCCCGACTCAGCCGATTGCCAGTCCGCCCGTGCACGCCATAAAAAAAAAAAATATATGAATCGATTTTTGGAATTCTATGAATCGATTCTGAATCGGTAAAGATTGAATCGCGATTCAAATGTGAATCAATTTTTTTGCACACCCCTAGTTAAAAGCGCTTTATAAATGAAGGTGACTTGACTTGACTTAAAGGGACACTTCACCTCTGGAAAGATGAATGTGTATTTAAAATGGGTCATTTATGTAGAAGAAATGTGAAATTATATTTGAATTTGGAGCTTTCTAGACTGAGAAAATCCAGAAAATGTATTTTTGGCTTATGTGGATGAAAGACAACAACTCCCAGAATGCACTTGCTTCGCTGCCCTAGGAGGCCACGCCTACCAGTAACAGGGCGCAGTAGTTAAACAACAAGTCTAGGCTACTAGTGAGTCTCAGAGATGAGTCTGCCCGGGATTTCGAGATCGCCCAAAATGTCCGGGATTCGGCTTTTGCGTTTTACAGTCGTCATTCATTATGTTTACTGTGGCGAGCAGGACGAGGCCGAGGGCATGATTACTTATGAGAGACACCTGTGAGACGCTTCGGTCTCGTATCTCTCACGGAGAAGCGGGAATTTTCTTAGCAATGTTAAAACGCACATCAACCGATCACTTGTTTAGCGTTCATATAAACACTACATTCAGATTCACCAATCGGAATGAATTCAGTTAGATTGAAACAAAAGGTGTGCATGTAAACAATGAATGGCGACTGCAGAAAGCAAAAGCTGAATCCCGGACATTTTGTACGATCTCGACGGCCGGACATGTCCGGGAAAAAGAGGATGAATGGTAACCCCTACTACTCAGCTTTCTCCTACTAAGTTACTCAGCTTTCTCCACAGAACAAGAGCCTGCTAGCTTAGCTTCCAAAAAACATGGCTGACACTATGTGTACATTCTGTGAGTGAGATCCCACCCTCTATGGGCGTGTTGAGAACATGCGGGACAGCCCCTACTACTGACTGTAGTCTTTAGCCTCTGGCCAAAAAATCCTCAGATGACGCAAAATGACGATTTTTGCGTCATCGGAGGATTTTTTCCAGACAAAAAAATACATAAATCTCTCGTCTCAGGGGGATATGAGGGTGGAAAGCACGGTAATTTGAAAATACTACAGGTTTTCTACTAATACAAAGCTTAATGCTAAATCCTGAAGTATCCCTTTAATATTATAGCAGATTTGTTACCCACCACAAGTTTTACCACTGCACGAAAGTATGTAAAAATATTTTGTTTTAGGCCATCCTTAAAAATATTTTGGTTTGCAGTAACAGCAAAAAATAAAAATAAAAAAAGGGTCGGTAGGTAGGTCTATTTTTTTTTTTTCAAGATTCAATGTAAAAAAAAGGGATAATTTTGGTCATGGTGATTACGTCGGTATGAATTTAAACAAATTTGCATATCGTGACGTCACTGACTGGGTCTTCAACCCATGCCTTCGGGCGCACCATTGCGAACCTCATTCTGATAGTTACAGGTTATAGACCACAAACAATTTGAAATCTTTTGTCAAAAAAAAACATATTTATTGCATTAATTCCAGTTGCATTCATTTGGAAAAAAAATAGGCAGAATCAAAAAAGAAAAAGAAAAAAAGGAGCCACTAGATTTCAATGAAAGTGGATTTTCAGAGGGAAACAAATAAATTAAAATGACTAATCTCACCAGCGCCTCGCCGACCAATAAAACAGCGCGTTTGGCACCATTCGTTTACATTTGACCCATACTATTACAAGCCCCCTTTCTGGTCTAGGGGCAGGAAAGGAGGGTAACAAAAAGTTGCAGGGAGAGAGTGAGAGATTTGACCCATAAACATCTGCTATTATTAACGGAAATCAGTGAGGTCAAATGGCTAGGCGCATTGTAGAAACTATAGGCCGATTAAGTAGTCCTGACATATTATGGAATGGTCGATTTTCTTTTGTGCAATTTAGTACATTTCGGTATGGGATGTGCTGTTTTATTGGTCAGCGCGGCGCTGGTGAGATTAGTTCGCGCCGCTCTGACCGGCTGGCGCAAGCAAACACTTCTCCCTGCGCTGTCGAGTCTGTCGCGACTCGCGCGGCTCGGTCCATTGAGCCACGCAGATTACAAGTTAGCGCAGCGCGAACTCTGTAACACACCGCGCCGTTTCGTCCCCCTTTCGGTGTGTTTGGCTTCCCATACTTATGTGTGTTTGTTTGTCAGAGCCTGCAGTTGCTGTGTGACGCGCGTTCGCGGTGGGCATATCGTGACGAGCTGGACGCGCTCCGAGAAAAGGCCGTTAACATTGATTCCCTATTCTCCTATTCCCTATTTGACCATTAAGAATTTCGAATAATGAGCGACTAAATGTAGGCTCATACAGACGTATTTCACAAGCAGCCGCGCCGCAGCCATCATCACCGAGCGCGAACCATTGACAGTGAATGAAACGAAGCGAACACACAGGCCATAGTGTGACATGCGTAAACCAATGGTGTAAACATAATCATAATAGATGACGCCACGGGTTTTTATTTAAAAGAAAGAACGTAGCCTACGCAATTTATATTCACAATACTTACTATAATACATTTATATTATTTTATTGCATTTGTATTAGTTGTTTGAAGAGTAAAAAAAAAAATCGGTTGGTCTTAATGCAAGTTTACAACCGGCAAGTTGTTCGGACTAAAAAAAAAAAAAAAAAAAAAAATTGGGTCGGTCCTAATTTGACAGGGTCGGTCGGGTTACGGCAAACAAGAATATTTTTAAGGATGGCCTTAGTTAGACAAAGTTAATTATTTGTCTGTTTTTAATTTTGCCAGTACATCAATGTGACATTCAAGGCATTTCCTTTGATGCATTCAGGAAACAAGATGGAGCATGATGATCTTACAATAAAAATAAACAAATTTAGCCACCATTTCAACATTCAAACTGAGGTTGACAATATTTACAAAGGTTTCTCTGCATTCAAAAGTTATTATTTTATTACATATGCAACAGGGCTCTAAGAAAAAAATCATCTAGCTATTACCAGTTGTTTTTATCCTATTGTACAAAGTACTTTCAAAACATCACTTCCTTTCCCATGGTGATGTGAGAAGAATGGTTTAGCCCCTGCCTATTGCATTGTGGGGTCAAATAGTTCTACAGGGTCAGCGTAGCTTTAGAACACAAGAGAAATTGTTTTACATCAGTGGCGTTTCCTGACTGGTAATTCCACAAGGACTTCAGTTGTATAACATACACAGACGGCTAGAGATTTTAGAATGTTTTCAATGATCTATTGGTGAGAAAGGAGGATGTGCTTCAGAATTTTTTTTTTTACAGAAAATACAGATCAATGCCCAAACAGAACAACTCTGCCAAACACAAGACATATAACATTCAATATAGTGACCAAAATATTAATGCAATAAGTGCAATTAATTGGCCATTGTGAGATAACCATCATAAATTTCAGCTGAGGACTATTTGAGTCTTTTGTTTGTACATACCTGTAGTACCGTGACTGGAGGTACGTTGAGCAGACTGCTTTGGAGACGTGACTGGCTGAGCCAAAGTCTATGACTTTCACTCGGTAGGGCTGGCGTACAGGGTCCACCAGCATTATGTTCTCAGGCTTTAGGTCCGCGTGAATCAGTCCCATGGCCTTCAATTTTTTTAGTGCCATGGCCACCTGCTGAAGAATGGGACGGATTACCTTCAGAGGTAGCGGGCTAAATTTGTTTTGCTTGAGGAAGTCGTACAGGTTCTGCTCCAGCATCTCAAACACAAGGCAGGTGTGGCTGCGGTGCTGGAAACACTCGAAAGCTCGCACAAGATTATGCTCGTCTGCATTCTCACTGCTGAGGCGAGCCAGGATCCCCACCTCAATCTGTCCCTGTCGTGCATATGATGGATGATTCTTCAGGATCTTCACTGCCACAATATCACTGGTGCCTCGTTTCCAGCATTTCACAACCTGGCCGAAAGTACCACGGCCGAGGAAGTCTAATACCTCATAGGTGTTCTTCAACGAGCAAAGCAACTCATGCTGCACCAACTGGTAGTCTCCATCCCCATTTCTGGAATTTCCACCTTGCTTTGAAGGCCCTCCACCGGCCGCCGCTGGCACTGCAACCGGTGGGTTTCCCACGTTTGATTGCAACATTGCAGGTAACATTGACAGGTCCTCTACTATCTGCATGGCGCTCCCCAAGTTCTCAAGCTCCCCACTCTTACGTTTCAGCCCGCATCTGTGGGAGCTGTCTTGCAAGTTAAAACCTCCACAGTCTTTCCGTTCACCCTTGTCCTCTCCTCCACCACCTTTACTGTCACCTCCACCCTGTCCTCCACCTCCTTCTTGACTGCCGCTTCCCTCTCCCCTACCCCTTCCAACTGCCCCTGTAGCTCCACTGCTGCAACCCCTTCCTTTGTCCTTGTGCTCTGGCCCCTTTTCCTGAGAGGAGATGCCCCCTTTTTGCTGCTGGGTTGCTGTGGTTGTATGCTGACGTCGCACGCCGTGTACAGTAGCCGTCTGCAAAAGAAAATCCTGCCCGTGGTGTCTGCTAATCACAGAATCTTGTGTCTTCAACGAAGCGGTGAGTTTTGTCGGGTAAGCAATGCCAACGGTTCTACCATTCAAGTAAGTCTGTGGGTAGGCCCTCTCATGGTAAACACAGTTCCTGGGCTCGACTTTGAGTTTCTTCACACTACAAAAGGCACTTGTCTGAGTTTGAAAAACATGTGGTGGGTAGACCAAGACTTGTGAGGCCATACCTGTGAACACAAGAAAACCAGATACAGATCATGCTACGGTTTCGTTTTTTTTTTTTTTTTAAAGAAAAGAAGAAAAAAAATCACTAATCTTCAAAGTAACACTTTCATTTTCAAAGAAAAAATTACATTTAGGACTGGGTTCACACAGAACGCATTTCTGCTGTTTTAACTTGAGCGGCGTGTTTTTAGAATGCCGTGTTATGTGTAGGGATGTGTGTGACGGCTAATTTAGTCTCCCTAGCCGACTAGTCTAAACCTCCCTCCTACATTATTATTAATAATGATGATTATAAATAATAAATCCTATGGTGCTGAAGAATGAATGGAGGCTTAAGGTGATGATACACAGGGCAACTTTTTGAGCAATGTTGCTGAGCAATCTTGGCGAGCGATGTTGCTTGGGCACTTTCCCATTAAAAAAGGGCAATACATTTTTTATCTGGATAATTTAGATCGGTCGTGGGCCCTGTGTCTCATCTGGTTGCCCATTGACGGCAACATTGCCCAGCAACATTGCTCAAAAAGTTGCCCTGTGTATCATCACCTTTATGGTCCTTGCTCGACTGAAGGTTGTCATGGAAATGCTTGATGTACTTTGTATGTTAAGGTGATGATACACAAGACAACTTGGTCAATCTTTCTATCAGGATAATTTAGATTTGTCGTGGGCCCTGTGTCTCATCTGGTTGCCCGTTGACGGCAACATTGCCCGTTGACGGCAACATTGCCCAGCAACATTGCTCAAAAAGTTGCCCTGTGTATCATCACCTTTAGCCTATAGGCTAATAAATGTTCTGGGGTAAAATGTATTTTGTATAAAGTACACCAACCCTGGTCTATAAAAAGTGAGAGTAGAATACCACAAATAAATAGATGGACAAGATTATGATGCACATAATTCTTAATAAATTGTGGTCCATTTCAACCCCGTTCCCAAATTATCGTCTAGAATTTAAGCATGTAGTTAGGACAGTTGTATTCAACTTATTATAATAATACACAATAAAACAATATACAAAAAGATTTGTTAAAAGAACTGGGAGCTTGTTCTGTTGTTGTGTCGGTAGATTAGATTTCTAAAATGAGTGAAAGTCCAAAAAAAAAAAAAAAATCAGGGAGTACAGTCTGCAGAACTGTGGGAACGGATTGCAGAACTGTGGGAACGGATTGCAAAAACGTGGGCACAGATTGTGAATTTGTGGGTACGAATTGAAAACCGAAGGTACGGTTTAAAAATCTTAGCGCATGGATCGGAAATTCATGGGTACGGTTTATTAATCAATGGGTGTAATTTGTTAAACCCAGGGAACAATTTAAGAATTTGTGAGTATGATACTGTGTATGAGTTTATAAACTGAGGGGACGAATTGCTAAACTGTGGCCACGGATTTGTGGGTCTTGTTTTTTTTTCTCCTACAGGTGACTTCCTGGGCTCCGTACCAAGTCGCCTAGCAGTATAGTTTAATCGACTAGTAGAATAGTGTCACACTTCCGTCATGTGCGAGACGCTGCAAAAGACTTGAGATGCGAGCAGAATGTTTAAATACGTCCGTCTAGCGTGCTTACATTGAAAAACTGAAAAAGCAGCACATAAATGCATTCTTTGTGAACTGCCCCTAAGACTGATCAAATAAACAGCCTTTATCTTTAAAAATTCCTGAAAATTTACATCCCTGGTCTCTATTAAATACTCATTAATAAAATGACTAAAGTCTGTAGAGGTATTTTCCTCAATTTGTTGTGACATCACCATGGACTTAATGTAAACAACTTATGTAGGGTCATTGATCCTACTGAGTACAGTGGATTGCATCATCAGGCTGACATCATACTTGACCTTTGCCCCTATGCTACAGCAGCAATCAGCAGGCTGCCTTGAACAAACAATGACAATCCAAGAAAATAACATATTGCAGCAGAAGGTTGAGTTCCTGCCTCCAACACCCACCAAAACTCTTTCCATTAACACTGTAAAGGGAAACAACTAACTGTTCACAGGTTCAAATGACCGTTTCATATCGGTTTCCATGTATCAAGGTCTCTAGGCAACAGCTTTTTCTAAATAAGCATTACTTAGAGTGGGGGAAAAAGAGACACCAAAGGAACAGCATCATCTGTGCTTCCATGTCTTGACTATTCTCAATAAATGTCAAATTTAGGAAGTAGCCTACTGTCTATAAAGGCCTAAGCAGTAATAATGATGCTTTCCTTAGCAAACAAACACCAATAATAAGTTAACCACATTGACTTAATGTCAATGCAAAAACGCATTACGCAAAGCTAACTGCTGTCTTTTAGTCAAAAGTTGTGGTACTACTCAAACTCTATTTACACTGAATTCTGCTCTGGGGTCAAACCTTCCTTTGATTTGTACTTAAAAATGTTAAGGAAAGGGAACAAGATAAGAGTATTTTCAGCAGCAGACCAACACATGGCCACAATTTTGAAAAGACATTGCCAATTTCACATTCATTTGGCTGACATCCTGTGCAAACTTTGTGGCTTGTCCAATTCCAGTGCTTCCCACAGGATTTTGTGAAACTGTGGTGGGTGGACCGTGGTCCCATTTTGTTCTTTTTAAAGTTAAATTAATCAATCTGGTGCACTTTGAGAGTTCAAAATTAAGAGCTCCAACCCATGTTCAGTGTGCAAATTGAACAAAGAAAAAGTCTGTGCTTTGACTTGTATCTGAACTAAAGGGGACTCAAACCTCTCGTCTCAGTCTACAATACAGTAATAGTCCAGTAGTCCTATGCTACAGTCCAGTTAATGAATGGGAAGCACTGAAATCTATTTGTGGCAGTCAATATTGATATTGTAGCAGCAGGGCACCACAGATAAATCAATGTATAGAGCCCCTTTCACACAGAGATTCCGGAAAATACACGGATGATTTGTGCCGGGATCATTTGAATTTTGTTCATTCACACTGCCAGTGATTTTCCGGAATCTGTGAGTGCATGCACACACATCCTGTAAAGACACGTGATGTCAGGATGTGACGCGCCACGTACGCTTCGAAAATAGGGCTGCAACAACTAATCGATTATGAAAATCGTTGTCAACGAATGTCATTATCGATTAGTTGGTCTGCTTACGTCACGGGGAGCGTTTACTGGTGATTGGTTGAAACAGGCCAATCAGGATGCTCTCTGTCTTACACGCGCTTCATGAGGCACACACACACGCACACACACACGCAAGGTCTCTCTACCTCCGTTGCTCTGCCGCGCACTCGCGCTACACGGTTTGGAGCACAGTCTCTTCTGTCTCGCATGCGCGCTCTTGCTTGCGCGCTCAAATCCCGGGAGTTTGAACTAATTTGCGAGCATCAGGGAGCCGCTATCAATATGCGGGTGACTCCTAGAACTTCCGGGAGACTTGGGATGTCTGTATTTTGCGTCTCGAGCATCAGGTTGCGCAATCAGTTCGCTCGCAACATAAGTGATGGATTAAAATAGTGCTACCGCAGAAATATTAAATTAAAACAGTCTTTACAAAGCGAAGCACTAAATATAAAGGCAGTTAATAACAGCAGCAGTAAAATATTGTTTTTTAGTCACTGTACTCAGTGGTTTTCAGCGAATGTTTGTGCACTAATGCATCATTTTTCCTGTCTTTTTAATCAAGCCTGTTAGCTTGCTGCGTACCTCCATTACGTTATCTTTATATAGCATTTGTCTACTATTAAGTTTTAATTGTTTTTCAAACGCGATCTACTGCGGCTCTATGTTCACACGCTTGTTTGCAGTCTTTCTATATTTATTTTTACAAATTATCCTTATAATTCAATTAATTTTAAATAAAAATTAAATGAATTATATATTTTTAGTTTATATCTTCACATCTGAACAACATGTCTGTAAATTTGTTTTAACAAAAATTGTGTTAAAACAATATGTTGGATATAAATGTTTTTTTTTTTTTACATTAATCATGGTTGTCAACTTGCCGTCAGCAATTATCATTAAAAACAATGCAAATATTGATATTTGTAAAACTCAATGTGTGGCTTTTGCACTTTTTAAAGTACACTTTTACACATAAATATCCTAATTTAGGGTTTTAGGTAACACTTTATTTTACGGTGTCCTTGTTACATATGTTACATGTACTTACTGTAGTAATAACAGTAAATTATGCATAATTACATGCAACTAACCCTCAACCTAATCCTACCCTATTCCTATAGTAAGTACATGTAGTTACTTAATATTACTCTGTACTTAAATATATAATTACACTGTAACAAGGACACCTTAAAATAAAGTAACCGGGTTTTATTTAGTCATAATAAACAAAAAATCTAATTGAAATTTTTTATCCGATTAATCGAAAAAATAATCGTCCGATTAATCGATTATCAAAATAATCGTTAGTTGCAGCCCTAGTCGAAAACATGTACTAACACGTCGAAAACATGTACTAACGCATCGCGTACCGTTCCACAAAGCTGGCGAACGATCTCAGCTTCAGCGCGGATAGTAAGCTTTCCTTGTTGATGACGAACACAAACTTTCTTCTAAGAGCAACAGAGTCACATGGCACGTGCGTCATCACTACGACACAACCCTTACGGCATTGGTCCTGGCTTTGGTTCACATAGGGCGCGTTCCGGGACTGATCCTGGCAATGTTACTAGGTCCCCATCCCAGCATCGATCCCCGCATCAATCCCGGGACGTGTTTGCGTTCACACAGAAGGCCCTCTAGTCAATTTTACGGCAATTTCCCGGGATCAACGCGCTGTGTGAAAGGGGCTTAGGAAACACTGGATTCAAGTTAAGGGCTGAAGTACTCTTAAAAATCTCAAGAGCAACTTTTCTATAGAGTGCAAACAGCTAACAGAGGCGTAGCAAAGTTAGAAAGGGTATAATGTGAGAAATCACAACATATAAGAAAAAGTAGGCCATTCCAAGGAAAAAAAATTACAAATATAATCCAAAACGAATCATGCTGTTAACACAAATCATATTATAGAGGATCACTGAATGTTTTTAG